CTTCCGATGCCTAGCTGCCATGCCACCCGAAGGTTGCATGGGGGCTGAGATACTGCCAGGTTGCCCAAGCCTAGACAGGGGAAGTTGAGAGGCGAAGGTGGGATTCGAACATCGAACCTTCCGGTCAGTAAATTCGCGCTCTTACCACTTGGGTCATCTCGCCCCTATGTTGATCATGTATATGCAGAAACAGCGTACCGTCCACACAAAAACTCAGTGACCCTCCTCCCGCCAAATCAAAGACGGTGGTGAACCCATTGAAGAGTAGCATACTGAAGTTCATCTGTAAACAGGTCGTTTTCATAGATTTTTATACACGTGTCTAGTTGGTCATAAACTAAGGTAAACAAAGAAAGTAGGCGCCCTGCATTGCTCGGATCAAAGCGTGGCTTGGAACAAAACTGACACGACACCCAAAACGAGGGGGGCTCAAAACACATCACCCCTCTTGTGACTGGAATGGGAGGCGGTTAAGCAATTGGGGCAAGCGATGGAGGGGTCATGCATGGTCCACGTACGTGGGAGTGTTTTCAACGAAAGCCAAACGGTATAGTTCGATGTTGGTAGGCCATATTTACACGTAAGCATCACCACGACCAATGACCAACTGGGCTGATGTAAACATATGCGGGGCTAGTTAATTGGGCTAGTATCACAATAAATACATCGGATCGAGAAACCCGATAGGAAGCAACAAAGGGAACTGTACAATGAAGGATGAGAAACCGGCAGCCAAGACGGGAAGTACCACAACATTGGTAAGAAGAAATCGTAGAGAATTTAGGAAGGGGTAACGTCTACAAGCAGATGATCACAGGTGGTACGCTGGCACGCAAACGGGATGTGGTGATGGGACTCTGTAAGGGTAATCAATTCTCAAACAGAAAAGTACGAATGCGGAAGAATAGCAGAGGTAAGGCCAACTTGCTGGGGGTCGTGTAAAGTGGAGAAAAAAAGATCAACGAGTCGGACGCCTGTTTGCCGTGTTGGTCATAGGAGGTGCCGCGCCGTTGCGACTCTTTGTCCGCTGAAGCAGCCACCGGTGACGTTTGCCTTTCAAGGATCCAGTGGGGTCGGTAGGCGTCGAGATAGTTTGGTCTGAAGAGTGCGAAAAAGCCGAATCGTTAGTGTCTGGACATTCAAAGGTCACATCACCAAATCTAACATCCTTATGACGACGATTACGCAGTCGACGTCGCAGAGAAGAGAATGGACTCGCCAACCACTGCGTGATTCGGCGTCCAATGCGAGACGAGGGTTGTCGATGTGCGCCACTATCCGGCAAGCGACCCAAAATTGGGTTGGAGTAGGCGATTGGAGAGGGTTCATCTTTGGGATCGACACCTTGAGCATCCATGTTGGATTCGTAGGTGCGTGCCCGACGACCTGAACTGAGATCGGATACCTGTGCGGGTGAAAAGGCCAGACGAGAACCGGAATGCCAGGTGAAATGAGATTCGGTTTGCTGGTCGTTAGGAGCGTACTCTTCTTCCCGACCAGATAAACTGGTCGCTCGCATTTTACCTCCGTGTCCCAAAGTCAGGGCAGCTTGATGTCCGAACAGCTGCATTGGGGGTGACACAGGAAGGTCAGCTGGACAAACGGGGGGCTCACACAGGGCTGACTGAGCGTCTAATGGTCGCCGCATCTGACTCACATCTTGACGAAAAGAGCGGGCAGGTAAGGATATGGTTACACCTCGTTGACGATAGTAGGATGAGTCGAACGGATGGTGCACATGCTCTGTACCACCTGAATAGTGGCGTTCCTTAAGACGAAGCGATGGATCGAGGAAGGAAGAGACACCAGCGTCCGCAAATCGTTCGGAGGTGATACCTAATGAAGAAAAATAACCACAGTGAAATCAAACGTGGACTACTTGCCTTTCACCAAAAACATGATAATGACAGATAATACGTGATTGGCTTGTGTTCAAACACTTGCAATGAGAGTACTAGCGACTAAAATCCTGATTGATGATGCTGGTGGTAATGACGATGACCAATTCAAAGGGGGAAACGATGATACACGCGGCAGGCGCCAAAAAACTCAGAAATGCTCTCAAAAGTGATTGGTGGCTAACCCAAGAGGACGAACAGAGAGTGGAAAAGTATGACGTTTGCAAGTCATCAGGAGGTAAGTCTCCAGGAAGACGGATTACGAAGAACAAGTTTTTGATGAAATCCAATAAAAATCAATAAATGCTGGCCAGAGTGTTGAAAAATCCAGCAGAAGCGTAATAAATTGGAGGGGGGGGGGATAAAGCTGGAGGTAATGGAACTAGAGTGACCCATTCGAATAGCGCGCAGATGATGCGACACAGAAATGAAGTCCAAGTAGTACATAGGCCTCCGAGTCGCACTATGTGTGCGTTCGGAACACTGGATCCCTAGCCCAGGAAACACGACAACAAACGACACCAGTCGGAACCAGTTGAGAAAGGCTAGCAGGACCTTTGAAACAAAAAATACATGAGCTTTTCACCGCTGACAAATATAATAGTGAGAAATTTATGTCCACACCACTCTCGTATGCAAAATTCTCCCCCTGGAACAACCATGCTGGTGAGTCCACATCATCAACGATCCTTGGCTGTGTCGGAGTTTGAACTCCGCACATGCGGGTGCACGCTGGGTGCATCCGAATTACCACACCTGACCGGGAAATGTGTTCGCGCGCTTGGGCGATGCGAGTAGTAAACAGTTAGAATTAGTGACGAGCGGATGCAAGGATAACATCTTACCCAATTTGGCCAGCCGTGATTCCAGTCCATCAGACCCAGGAGCATTTGCTCGTGTGAACCGATTACACTGATCGTGATCGATTTCAGCCATTTTGGAGGGATCGGAAAGTTGGTTGAACAGCTGAAATGACGAACGATTCGAGTATTTATGTGGCAAGTGTGGCGGGAGAGGGTTTCGAAACATTCATTCCTTTAATGCAATATACCAGGGGTGTGCAGTAACAAAACTGGGGGACAATGTGTCAGGTGGCATAAAGTTCACAATGGACATGCGTGTCGGGTCGCCACTATCTTCCGTTCCATTGAACTCATCAAGTATGGAATTCAGATTAAGCGTCACAAACATGGATGACCTCGATATGACAAACGAATGATCACCATAACAACGTGGGCGATGGATCATCTACCAAGATACGTGTGTTCTGTTGTCTGATTTGTGGTTATTGCTCGGTTGGTCTAGGAAAGCGCTTAGACAAGTGTTCGACTATCCTTCCTAAAAGGAGACAGTCGGTTCTGCCAATGCATGTGTCACCGCTGACCGGGTCAAATTTGACTCCGAGAAATAGATCGGAGGTCGCCCTAGGGTGACTTCAAGTAAATAAATAATCGTTCGGCTGTAAAAGTTCTCCGTTGCCTAGCTGCCATGCCATTGGAAGGAAGCACGAGGGCTGAGATTCTGCCAGGTTGCCCAGGCCTAGGCAGTATGAGCGCCGAAAGGATGTTTCACCGTTGTCCAGCGTGGGTTTCAGTCCGTTAATGTAGCAACATAGCCTGGATTTGTGGTACACCTGACCTGATCCCAGGGTAGGTGGTTT